TTGTCTTCGAAACTGTTAAAGGATCAAAACTTGAAGTACTCGTACTGAGTTTATTATTCTACTTTGCTATCAGCCCTGACGTCTCCAGTTTCTCCCCCCCCCCCGTCAGTGACATCAGTTAACGTATTGAGGATCATGCAATGAGATGAACCTTTTCAACTGCCCGGATAGGTCATTATCTTGATAGTCCAGCTGGGGCCAAACGGTCACGCCTAGTGGTTGCTGCCGGTTATAGCTAGAGATATAAAGGTTGTCCCCTACCCCTCCCCATACCCCACTGTGCTAGATCTACTTGTCCGTTCATAACTTTGTATCTTCTGCCTGTTTTTAGTACTATTCCTAATTGCTTCTTTTGATTTATCCCATTGATAATTGGATATCTACACGTAAAGTGAACTCCATCTGTGACGTAGTTTACCTTGTATGCCAATCAGAGGTTTGTAACTAAAATGATATCCCCAGAAGTTAAGATTTTCATTATTTGCTGTTTCGAAATAAAGTGTATCGAACGTTGCTTTCTTGTCTATAAAAATAGCATTATAAAACGGTTTAATGTACTGCAACACGAAACAAATATTTGTAGAAGTCAGTTATATCGGAGAGTGCACTAACACTCTCTATATATGGATGGCACGGGCACCCGTATTAAAGCAATACACAAGTCATATGGACTTCTACAGGTAATCAGAATCGTATAGTCGTTCTATCTCCCGTGTATATGCCGCTTTTCAGCTATCCAGAGCGTCTCAAAGTCGAGAACCGGCGAATAGCCAAAAACTGAGATTTCTTATTTCCGTTCATTATCATCTTTCTTCAATAGGCCTAGCGCCTATCTAGTTTTGGTAGAAACGATAATTTTATCATCATTTCATCGAGAAAAACAGTCTTCACGATCTTTGACTACCTATTTTATTATTATTTTGTGCAAGTTTTATAAAGCTTTAAAATACACTCTAAAACCTAGTAACCCACGTACGCCATCTTATAAAAAAGTAAACAAACAAGAGTTAGGTGAAAAAAAATATAACAAAACTATGTGGAGCTGGCTATTGAACTTGAAAAACGAACCAAACAAGATAGGGATGGAAGTGGACATACCACTTGATCCGGCTAATGATCACACAACAGACTAAGACGTCTCGATCTTAACTGGAGCATAAAATCCCAACATTACTGGCTTCCTCACTGGCATAAAAACATAGAACCAGAATTTCCAATCGTAAAATGTTACTCTATTGTAAAATAGTCATAAAATTAGTGTTATAAAGTTAACTAAAGAAAAGATATAATGATGAAAGCTGAGATTCTATTCCAACACCAAGCGATAGTCACAGCGCAGATAGCTGTTTCTGCAATCTTCCACTGAAACAAACAAATTCCATGGGCATTGGCAAGTAGATTAAGTAAACCTAAGATATTACGTAACGCTGATTTCTAATTGACACCATTAATGATATGATAGTTTTCAGCTCCTGTGTCTGGGATTAATTTTACCTGTAAAACGATCAAAAGTGAGTTGCTCATTAGGCCATCTAGTATCGTCCGTTACACAACAGTTATAATAATAGTGCCCAGTGATATAAGGTTTCTGATTATTCAAAGACGAAAAAAAAAAACATGTGGCTTTCATGAGAACTCGAGACTTCACTCTATCAGACTTACAAACCCCTCTTAAGTTCAGGCTCGAACAATCTATCCCAAAATTGTAGGAACTCGTTTCGATCTGTCGTAACAGATAAAGAAGTCACGTGACTGATATTGAGTGCTGTCAGAAATTTTAGATAATATCCACTTTCGTCGTTTCTCATGCGCTTCGTGATAACATCCATATCTCGTTCAGGTTTCCCAAACAGCTGACAGAGACGAGCAGTAGAGTATTACATCTGATTCTTACTTACCAATACCTTTGACAGTAATAAGTTTCTAAATACTTAAAGATTGTCCATCGATAAGATAAAGGTATTTCACTTTCTAGTGACTTCAAAATGTATTTTTCTTTTCGTAAAATCAAACAGATGCTGACAAAGTAAACCAATTTTGTCTTTAAAAAATGTTTATATGATCCTGACAACATGAATGATGTATAGCTCCAAAACAAATCATATAATTAATATAATAATAAAAAGTGTTTATATGATCCTGACAACATGAATGATGTATAGCTCCAAAACAAATCATATAATTAATATAATAATAAAAGTGTTTATATGATC